CTGGCCGTTAGGTCTTTGTGTCTACTTTTAGTCTGGGAAACAGCTCTTATCTTTAATAACTGCCTGTTAAATCATGACAAATTGTAAGGTTTAACATTATATCAAGACACACTTGACTTTATTTTAAATAAAAATTACATTAATCTAAACAAATGTAGGGAGCTGAACCTTAAGCAAGCACATGAAGATCAATGCAAGGATTAAGAGACACTATTTATATCTCTTGGAAGTACTGCTCATGTGTTCACACAGGGTTCTGCCAAACAACAAGCTTTCATTGCTTTATGATGCCAGCTACAAAATACCATCCTGGTACAAAACAACTTGTGTCATTCAATTTTTATGGAACTAAGCTGATACATTCTGCAGAGTGTACTTCCTGTATCTGCAAGTGACTTCTTAAGGCCAGAGGAGTCAGTAAAACCAATAGATCAGATAAAGATGGATTAAAATGTGAATTAAATAATGAATTAAAAGCTTCATATTTGAGACTTCTGTTAATGTGTTAATTTGCTGAGGGAGCAGCTTAGATCATAGATAACTGCAATGCTCTAACAGCTTTAAAGCCAATCCATTTTATTTCTGAGTTTCTTGTTAGTCGAGGATACAAGATGTAATAAATGATGGTGTATTGTAAATCTCAGGCTGCCTGGTGCACCAGAGGCAACATAATGGAGCTCATATGGTTTGCACTGGGGGTCAGGAGGCCACGTACTAATGATCTGCTACAGATCTGGGGGGATTCGCCAGCAGCAGTCACAGCACCAAAGAAGCATTCAAAGGGGAATTTTAGTGATTAGTGTTCATATAATTTACAAATTGGATATCAGTACTTTAAAAACAGAGCTGACTTTTGTGCTACAGCCTGTATTCACCAACCAATAATCTTAGGAGGAAAAAAGACATGTCAGAGTAAAATTAACAGGCATGATAGTGAAAGAGAGCATGTCAATCGTACTATTTGTCTTACACTGCAAATGGCAAGTGTGACTTCCCAGTAAGAATCTTGTTAATTGTGTGGAAATTGAACTGTTAACTACAAATAATTACAAGGTATTAGGAGAAATTAAATTTGAAATTATTAGTATTATTGCTAAAAATCAGAAAAGTATATCAATATAATTGAGGGCACAAGAAACATGACCTTCATACTCCAGGACAACTAACCAGCACAGCTGAAAATGAGCAATAAAATGCTCAGATACAAGAATTACTTGCAGAAATGATAGGGCAAAGAATTATGAATTAAAAAAATTCGGAGAAAGTTGCATGCTCCTTATAGTCAGTTCTAGAATACAAGTGAATTTATAACAGAGAAAAAACAATTGCTCTTATTATGGCTTTTTTTTAGAATTATATTATCACTTTACAAGACATAAGACTTAATCCCCGCCCTTAGTGTTCCTCAGATCTAAGACTGTTTTCTGTGTATACATGGATTAAATGCTCCAAAACTGGATCTGTTACCTGCAGACCCCACATCACAACAGTACAGGCAAGTGCAAACCAGACAGAAGAAAACAATAATAACCACAAGAAAAATCCCAAAGAAATAACATTGTTATTGTAGATGTTATTAACCATAGTTATTAAAAATTACACATTTGGGCAACTATAATTCAGTGATGGGAACAGTAATATGCATGTCTGTCATTCACAGCAATGGCATGGATCAGATGTAGGAGATTTTAAGAATCTAATTCAGCACAGAAAGGAAAAGATGTCATCAAATGGCCCCAACCAGGAAGCTTAATCAGAAACAAATCTGTGACTTACTCTGAATTATTCTCTTCCCTCCTGAAGCAGAGAAAGGATGCTAACCACTTATGAGAACAATTGCTAATCACTGTAAAAATATGTGCCAACTCAAAACCTCTGATCATAACAACAAACAGCTCCCTAGAACATACATAAAGCTGAGTTCATGCAGGGAAAAGAAGGAAAGGGAGGAGAATTCAAATCATTTCAGGAACAAATGATTGAAAACAATACCCTTAGTAACCTAAACCCTTCTGATGGCTCTGACAGAACTGGCCCCGTTTCAGGGTCAGGGAAGGCCAGGGCCACTGGGCAGGCACTCCTGTGTCTCTGGGACATCCCTGGCATCATAGGTATCTCAGAAATCCCTGCAGTTTGATTACAGCATTCTCTAGTTCTTCTTCAGTACATGTAAACCCACCCTCTCTCTCCCTGCTGACAGGTAAAGGAACCTCAAAACTTGGAGAGTACTTTCTTCATGGATTTCCACAGAAAAAAAGGCACCAGGTCAGCACAGGCTTGCTCAGGCCATTATGCAGATCTTGAAAATTAGCTGCTCAAAACTGCAGACACACCCTGACCTTCTGTTTTGCTGGCTAGAGATCAGGACAACCTTCACAGCTATATAATATAATACTGTTGAACTTTTGTCTACAGCCCTTTATTTGTAACCATTGTGACACACGAGATAAAAAAAAAAGTTCTTCTTGAACTGCCTATGTTATATAAATATTTTTCTCTATACTAACTTCTGCTATATTTCCTGGACAAAACCTGAACACACAGGGGATGGCAATTTAGTGACATTCATGTGTAGCCCTTTTGGGAAAAGCATTGTATATTATTTCTGATCTGGACTGGCAAATACAATGACATCACATTTAAAAATGGCTATGATCCACCCACTGAGAATGCCAAAGAAAAGCTGGCTGATTTTTTTTTTTTTAAAGGAAGCTAGCACAAAGATTACAAGGTGAAACAGATGTCTGAGGGTTGTTGTCTACACAGAGAAAAACCCAGTTTCAAAAAGAAATATGTTCAAAAGGAAGTATGTTCTCTTTCAAAACTGTTTAAATTTGTGCATTTGGCACTTAGCTGAACAGCACTGATGGGCATCCAGGTCACATTTCTCCTTTGTCTCCTTTCCTTTGTCTCCTTTCTTGTTTTTTTGGGTTTTTGGTTGGTTTTTTTAAAGACTTTTGGTCTCTTTCATTTTATTTCTCCTTCTTTCCCCTCATTTTCTCTCTCAGCTTTCTGTCTCAGCCCATCTCACAGGCCTTTCCATTTTTCCCTATTTTGCATAGCTTTGCCTTCTTATGATCCCTTATTATTGTTGCCTTCTTATCATCCCTGAAGCTGTCCTACATACTTTGTCTGCCCCAGGTGTCCTCCTTTTAGTTCTTTGGTGTACATTTCCCTTTTTCCTTAATCCTTTACAATTCTTGTTAACTTTCTCTAGTGTGTTACTGGCAATAGGTTGACTTTTTGCAAATGGGGTTCAATCTAGGTGGAGCAGTCATGACTGTTGGCTCTCAGCTGACAGATTAACTTGTGAGCAAGCACAGAAAGGTAAAAGCAAAAAGACAGCAATCACAGAAATTCTCATTATTATCCAGATCACCCCATGACTGCAAAAAATGCCCCCAGAAAATTATCCATTTGCGTCCATGGTGTCACATCACTGTTTCACATCTCTGTCCCTAAGCTATCAAGGCAATGTGGGGCTCTCCTGCTTTCCCTTCTTTGCCCACCTTGGGACAAGAAAAGCGCAAAGACAACACCTTCATTCTTCTCAGTCAGCAGCATGATTTTATTTTTAAATATAGCCTCTGTGGAAAGCTAGTTGCTGCTTTCTGGTTGGTACACTGTATCTTCTTGTGCCCTTTCCCACTATAGTTTACCCTGCTGGAATTGCTTCCACCTCGCTTAAGGTTCTCTAAAACTTGTTCTGCGAAACAGACCGCATTTGCTTGGTCTCAGTTTTGTCCTAATTATAAACCTGAATGCAGAGCGGTGACATGTTCTATTCCTCTTTTAGCCACACGCTTCCATAAATGCTGACAACTCAGGAGCTATGACAAACAGCCCTCAGCCCCGCGATGGAAATCGCCGCTGTCCTTACAGCACAGCCCCAGCAGATGGCAAAAGGGTCCGCCTCGGTGCTCGACTGCCAGCGGTTTGACAGGACTGGGAAAGCTCCAACACTTTTTATTCCTTTCCCCTTTCTTTCCTAAAAGCCACCACGATAGCACACTAAACCCAATCCCATTTCGCTCGTTAATTCAAGCGAATTAACCACACTACATCGCCTGTTCCAAGGACGAGACACGGGGTGACTGCTGCGTGAGGCACAAGCCCACACTGGACCCCTGATGCCTCTTCTGCTTCGGTTTTTCTCTTCAGAAGTTTAAAACACTGAATGTCGAGGCACACTGTACTTGTGTAAGGACTGTAACACGTATGTGCCAACCGCTGTTTCAGCATTGCTTCAGAAGTAGTTACAACAGGCCAACTCTGTTACCGCAAGGAAAAGGGCATTATACAAAATGGATTTGCATTTCACGTGCAGTCGCCGCAACATGTGCCCGCTCCCCCAGGTAAAAGGTTGATAGAACCCCCGCGGCCGCCGCAGCGCTCTGCGCGCTGTCCCCTCCCCGCCGCTCCGGACGCGCATTCGCGCGGCACCGGCCGCCCTGACGGACCCGTCGGGTGACACGGCCCTGTCCGTGACACACCCCGGGTGACCCATCCCGGGTGACCCATCCCGGCTAACACATCCCGGGTGACCCATCCCGGCTAACACACCCCCGGGACACCGCCTGCTCCCCCCGGGCCGGCGGCCCAGCGGGGCCTGCGCGGGCGCGGCCGCGTGCGCGGGGCGGGGCGGCGTTGACGCGTTGGCGGGCGCGGGACGGAGCGGCCCGGCCCGCGCCCGGCGCGGGCCCCCGAGGGCGGCTGGATGGCGCCGCGGGGTGGCGGCCCGGGGCGCCGCGGGAGACGCCCCCTCCCACCCACCGCCGCTGTTGCCGCCGCCGGCGAGGCCGGGCGCGTGCTGCAGCGGGGCCGCTCTACAAACTGGGCAGGCCACCAAGGGCTCGCTGCGTGAGCTTCTTCGCTTTCTCTTTCTCCAACGAGCTGCTAGCCGACGTGCACTTCGTCGGTGGGCAAGGCAAGCGCCCGCGGCGGCGGCGGCGGCCGGCGGCGGCCGCCCCCCGGGCCCGGCCAGCAGCGCATCCCCGCCCACCGGTTGTCGTGCTGGCGGGCCGGGAGCGCCGTTTGTCGACGCGATGTTCAACGGACGCTATGGCCACCACCTCGGCCGAGATCGAGCTGCCGACGTGGAGCCCGCGCCCTTCCTGGCGCTGCTCAGGTCAGCGGGGGCGGAGCGGGCACCGAGGGCACCCCGGCGGCCCCGCTCGGCCGCTGGTGTCATTTCCTCGCTCCGCGGCCTCTCCCGGATCCTGTTCCCGTCCTTTTCCCGGTGCCCGTCCGTGGAGGGAGATGCTGGGAAGGCGCGGAACCACCTTGTGGGCTGGCACGCAAGGTCACACCGCCCCACCGAAACCAACGTGTTTTGGTTCCTTCTTGCTCTTTCTCCTTTTCCCAAGAGAAGTGCCCTAATTCTATGGCAGCTGGCTGTCCATTTAGGGAAACGTTTGCTGGGTGTCTGGCTGGGCTTTTGGGTTCCGCGTTTTGGTTTTTAAAGTAAAATGATGGGAATTAGTGGGTCCCCTTGATGTTGCAACCATCCATCCATCTTCTAATAATAGCTAATAAGGGACAGAGGCTGCGGTAACAAGCTTTTAATTTCATTTGATACTTATTTGAAATCTTTCTCATCTTATTGTTCACTTTTCTTTGTCTGTGATGGTAATACATTGTTATATCTTTTTACCATAGTAGCACCCATTGTGATCATACTTATTTCAGTTACTCCTCGGTGGAGGGGGAACATACAGCAGAAGGCAGTAACTAGCTGATTTTTAGCCACAAACCACCCAAGTGTGAGACTGTGAGTGCAGTGATAGCAAAAAGTTATGTAAAATGAGTTAGTGATTTCTAATTTGGGCAGAGTAGGATTTGCTACTTGTCATGCTCACAAAGCTGATGAGTTTATCTACCATTTCTTTTCAATCAGTGTAGTGGTAAATAAAATTTATGGTGTTCATAGAATTACTGATAGTTTCTTTGTACCTTAGGCTGTGGCATGGTAGTATGACTGAACTGCTTAACCTGAAGGTTTTTATCAAAGAAACCACTCTTCTAGGCAAAACCTCTACAAAATGTATTAAACAATTCTCTGTAATAAGCATCTGGGAAACAAGTAATGTTATTGCCTGGAAATAAATATGTAGTGTCTCAAAACTTTCTGTAATGGGAAAAACTCTAAAGTCTTGGCAACTTTCGTTTTGTTTTGAGGCCTAGCAGATAAGAAAAGTGAGAAGAAGAGTCACCTAGTCCTTTTGGTAATTGTGGGCATGGGAGTTGAAGCAACTGATTTAAATAAAACCCAACAAACCCCCTTGCAGCAGCAGTGTCTCTCTTGCCATTAGCAAATGAACTGTATTTTGTGGATTTTTAGCAGGGTGACGAGGTGGAGAGTTTGTGCAGAGGAGTGAGAGGTAGTGGGAAGTGTCTTTCAAGCGAGTTGGTTCCAAAGGTTAAAAGTAAATGACACAAAGTGTCATGAAAAGCACACATAGCCTTTGTATATATGTAGAAAAAAACGCTGGGCAGTGATAAGCAAATATAATGAGAGTAGTTTATCTGGATATAAATAGAAACACAGAAACAGGAGATTTCTAAGTAAAGATAAGAAGGATGGTATTTAAAAAACTGTAGAAGTGAATGAAGAGATGTTGTTAGAAGCAAACAAAAGCCATCTTGTGTTGGTAGAGCTGCTAGTGTGTGATGGCCAGGGGATTTACGTCAGTAAACTGATTATGCTTGTATCTTGTCTAAATATCACCAGACTGATAAACTGTTGAAACATCTCAGGTTTGGTGTCTGTGACAGCTCTTTAGGAAGTTCTTCCAAGTTATGTATAGTTTTTGAGCTTATATCAACATAAATACCCATTGCAATACCCTGTTAAAAACATACCTAAGGAGAACTTCAATACACACGAGGACTGGACTTTTTCCATGCTCCTAAACACTGTTTCTGAAGTGTACCAACTATAAGACAACCTGAATTTTTTTTCCCTGGTGTTGACTGAAAGAGGCAAGATTGATACCTTGTACTGTTGGCCTGTCGTATCTATCATTAGTAAATTTGTCAATGATGGTTACCTTTTATAGGACATTTCTTTAATGTTTGCAAAGACCAATTTGAGGCTAGAAATTAAGTCAGGATCTTTGAATACACATAGCAAATGAACAGCAGGTAAAGGAAGCATTTAAATAAGTCAAAACTTCTTAGGGATAATTTACTAATTATTTAATGTTCCACAGCTCATTTCTATTTTATTTACTCATGTAATTTGTTAGGTCTTGTCTGTAGCTGATGTGTTTCATAAAGATCTACTGACAAATGCTACTTGTAAATGAAAGGAAAATATTTTTTTGATGGAAAAACTTCAGTAGTTTGACAGCTGAATCCTTAGGAGCTGAAATAGTATCAAAGCCATGAAGTTTGAATCTGTTTTCCAATGAAACAGCGCTTTTTTTTAATGTTTCTAACTACAAATTGAATAGCAATGATCAAGAAAATTAGAGTTGTCTCAGTAGGATTCTGCTTTAGGATTTCATTTTGTTGTTTTTAGTAAGATTATTTTTAAATTTCATTCACATTTTACAGTAAGTTAACTTGTCCTTTGATCACAGTATAAAGGAAAGTGATGACATGGCACAAATTAGCACTCTGTCTTCTAAACGTCTTTGTAGAGGACTTTGGCAATCAGTAAATAGAGAGATAATCATGACTAACTGGAAAAAAAGATTCCTGTGTGCTTTTATAATGGTGAAAACATTTCAGCTGTTGGGAGGATGTTTAGACTAGGGGAGAAGGAAGTGCTAACCTGAGAGTAAAGAAAAGTAGCATAAAATGTATGAGAGGCTGTGAAGGGAATGATTGGGTTGTCACTCGGAGAAATTGTTTGTTCTGGTTACTTGTCACTAAAAACATTCTTTCACTCTGCACATACAAACCCCCACCTCCCCGTCCCTCCATGCTGGATGACAATAAGATTAGTATCTAAAGAGCAGGTTGTTTCTGTGAGTCTCTGGAAGGGAAGGAGAGGAGAGAAGGGGGAAGGATAAGTGAACTTGGGTCCCACCGAGTCAAGTGGAGGAGGAACACTGATATAAACACAAAGGTGTGCTAGTCCAGGCGTGCCACAAATGGGAGAGTTAGCACAGAGACAGAGCTCTTGGCACACATGAGCAGGGGGATTTTGAGAGGGAAGACACACCTAGAACTGCACCCTGATTCTTTGCAAGCTATAGCAGAAAGTGAAACACAAGACAGAAGAGCTCCTCTGATGTGTCACTTTATTGGCTTCAGATTGGACTCACTTAAGAAATAAAATCAAAATCATGTTCCCAAACCAAATTGGGATATTTTTTTTAATTAGATAAAAGTTATACTGTAGGTTGCATGGCAATATTGGTTTGTTGTTTTGTTTGGTTGGTTTTTGTTTGTTTGTTTGTTTTTATGGCCGGTTAATATTCAACTCGTATGTGCTTTGGACTCCAAGCTCCTATAAAGTCATACAAGGAAGCTTAGGGCATTTTAAACTGATTTTTTAGAATCTTAAATCCAAAATCTAAATACACTGTTCTAGTGCATTAATGCACAACTTGTCAATTTGGTATGCAAAACTGTACCTATGAGATCTCAGTTTCATAGAAGTAAATTTGTCAGCAGTTAAGCCTAGCAAGTCAGCCCATCATTTTCACCAACACGTAATAAATAGTTCATAGTTTTCATAATTCAGTTCTAAAGGAACTGTATGAAACTTTTGCTTAAAAAAAAGTTAGCATTTAATTAAATTCATTTTTCCTAAAAACTGTTTGATTTAAATCCAGTTTAAAAAGTTAATCTAGAGCATCATTCACATCTCCAAAGTGATGTGCAAACTGGCTGTTTAAGTAGATTGGAGTATTGTAATGCTAGATGTGTACCTGTATGTGGCAGAAAATTTAATGCTGAATACCGTATTTACTGGTGTGTTAGCAACTACCAAGAATTAGTTTTCTTGGAATATAAGAAATATAAACAGTGAAGAACTTCAGTTTAAACTTTAATTCCAGGTTTCAATTATCTAGATCTCTCCATGTTGCAAGCAAGTTTAACGAGTCTTACTTTCACAAGTTTCTGTTGAATACAAACTGCTTATTGTTACATTTAAAAGCCCTTCTAAACACACCTTCTGTCTCTGCCTTTCTGAGAGGTTCTGAACAACAAATACTAAGAAATACTAAAGATAGGCTTGGTCTTTGTTCTGGAATTCCTGCATTTGCTAATGTGCTCTACTTTATTATGTTTAATCATCTATGTGTTGGGGACAAATGTATTTTTGTAAATCACAGGCTATTCTTGATTGTTATCTGAAAAGCTGATGAAATACTGCTAAAATTATCTTTAAATGTCACCTGTAGGAAAAGTTATTTTTAAAAAGTCATATTTTCCATACAGAACCTAAAAATAAATCTTATCTTGTCTAGTCTCAAGTAACAACTGCTCAGGAAACAGCATTTTTTTCCTGATATTGGTGGAGACTTCTATCTTTTGGTTGACAGCTTATGCTAAAGTCATAACCAATCCTCTAGCCTCAAGCAGTGGAGACAAGCCAGAGAGTTTTGCTGTGGCAGGAATAGAAGAGTCAAGGTCATCTGCTCTGCTCTCCTCTGAACGTGACAGAGCAGTAACTTCAATATAGGATGTTCTCACAGTATAAGCCCTTGACACTGTTCCCCTCACAGAGGGAAGCCAGTGTGCACTGTCAGTAAATTAGGTTCAGCAATACAGCCATAGAGGGTTGTGCATTGATATTTGGAAATACAGCTCCTCCTGATGAATCGAGAGAGCTGCATTCGTGTGTTAAGTAATTCTGCAGCTCAGCTGTTGTTTACAGTTGGATAGCTATGTATAACTAGTACAGCCGGATCAGCCTCAGGGAGTAATACATATTTAAAACAAATGTATGCCATTAGGTTAATGTAATATTCTTCCTTCCACCCTTTAACTTACCTTTTTCATTTGTAAAAACTGTTGCGTGTTCACAGTGCAAATCTTTGGCCTGTTTTGTAAATGCAAAGAGACTTATCTTTGACAACCCCTCTCAAGATACATTTTTATGATCTGTATTTGTGTATTGATCTGTAGGTTTCTTTATTCGGATGAAGTTCAAATTGGTCCAGAAACAGTCATGACTACTTTATACACTGCTAAGAAGTATGCGGTCCCAGCGCTGGAAGCACACTGTGTGGATTTCCTAACAAAGCATCTCCGAGCAGACAATGCCTTTATGCTGCTTACTCAAGTAGGTACATTTAAGCTTAGTTTTGATTTGCTAGGAAAATCAGTTTGTGAAGGGAAATGACTAATTCTCCTGAAGTATGTACTCCCTAGAAAATTTAAGTCCTCCTTAAGGTATGAACACAAAGAGTACTTAGACAGATCCAGCTATTTTAATTTAGGTCTGTACTAGAGTAAAAATGCCTGATTTTTAAGATGAGTACTTTGTCAACTTTATGCTTAAATTGTATTTCTTTACCATTTTAGGCTCGTTTGTTTGATGAACCTCAGCTTGCTAGTCTGTGTCTTGACACAATAGACAAAAGTACTATGGATGCCATAAGTGCAGAAGGCTTTACTGACATCGATATAGGTAAGTGTGAAATTACAGCACCCCAGTTCCCTCCCCCATCTGAGTCCCAGGCACTTCTTCCCTTCTTGGCTATCCACCCCTGCAGTGCTTTCCTTTGAGCTTCACTCCTGAGCAGGGTTACACTGCACTGGATATCCATTTGATTAGTGTTGGTGTCTCAAGGCTCCCACGGTGGTAACACCACACTTTTCATTACAGACAAAGCTTTCACTTGCTGAGTGTTGTGCCTCATCCCCGAGGGATCCACACCTGCATTTATTTCTCTATTCAGAGTTGTACAGATTAGGTACAATCAATGAAATCTGCTTTAAAAAATAAGTACATAAACTGCTGATTTCTATGTTTAATATCCTATGAAAAACTAGCAGTTGTTAAATTTGCTTACTTAATTTCATTGCTACTATATGTGTCTTAAGATTTTACTCCAACTCAGCTACATTGTGGGAAAAATTCAGACTGAAGGAAGGTGTTCCAGCTGTTTAAAGAAATTTTAAAATCATTGTTAACTCACGTTCAGTAAAATTTGTGCCTAAACTGTGAGTGTTCATCTCTACTCTTGATAATTCTCAATCTGTTTTGACTTTCTAATATGATATTTTGTATGACTGCAAACATGCCCTGCTTAAATTAAGGCAGACAAACATTCCCAAAGACAGATATGAAAACACTGGTTTTTTTGGACTTGTGTTCCACGATAACTTGTGCATACATGTTATTCATAAAAGGCCAGAATGAGTAATACACTCACGAGAAGTTGCTTCTGTAAAACACGTGAGAGTACCTTGCCTCAGATCCTGTGTTCACATTCAAGCATTGTGGATGGCAAATACAGCAATGCTTAAGATCACTTTCATATATCTTTCAACTGGTTTTGTGTGCACTGCTTCTTGTGTCCAGGGTTGATCCAGATGGGCAGATGGCTATGCAGATGAGAATATGACAGTGTCATCGTGAATAACTTGATTTTTGAGTAGTATGCATTCACTACTTGGTCACTTCCAGTTTTGATCTTGCCCTAGCAATGGAAATTCTTCAGAATATTGGTTGTCACTACATAGGTTATGTAGAGGTATAGATTACACTCTCTAGGAATCAAGAAGATAGATCATATACTGTCTTCATAGCAGGTAAATTAATTTTTAGTTTGAAGTCTATGCATCATTGAGAGATTTCTTTTTCCATAAGATAAATGATGTATAATATATATACATATAATGTATGATAATAAGACAAAGATAGTTATCTTTGTCTTATTGTGAATGTTCTTAATGTGTACTTAGTATTTTAAGGCTACATAATGTGTAGCACTTTATAGCTACACATTGATTTGAATGAAAACTGATCTAAATCTGCTAACTTGTTATTCTTTAGACACGTTATGTGCAGTTCTAGAAAGGGACACCCTTAGTATTCGAGAAAGTCGGCTCTTTGGAGCTGTTGTTCGCTGGGCAGAAGCGGAATGTCAAAGACAACAATTGCCTCCAACATTCGGGAACAAACAAAAAGTCCTTGGAAGAGCTCTTTCCTTGATCCGTTTTCCATTAATGACTATTGAAGAGTTTGCAGCAGGTGAGTTTTGGAGTTCTTTATCTTGCTGTTAGACCATATCTCTGTGCTGTTTACCTGTGTTTAGGTGCTTAACACTTGATTCTGTTATTAATATTATACTAATAAGGGTTGTGATGCACAAATGAAAGCAAAACATTCTGCAGATTACACTCTGGCCATTGGAAAATACTGTTGTTGTCTTCAGTTTGTGAATATGTGTGGTTTAAATACCACAGTTGGAGTAATCCTTCAAATCATCTTAGAATTTTTTTTCTTTTTTCCACAGGCCCTGCTCAATCTGGAATCTTGTCAGATCGGGAAGTAGTAAATCTCTTTCTTCATTTTACTGTAAATCCTAAACCTAAAGTAGATTATATTGACCGACCAAGATGTTGCCTTAGAGGAAAAGAATGCAGCATTAACAGGTTCCAGCAAGTGGAGAGTCGCTGGGGCTACAGTGGAACAAGTGATCGGATTAGGTATGACTTCTGAGATTATTTGAAGGAGAGACAGAGAAGTGGGGGTAGAAAGGGAACAAATCACTCAACTTTGACTTTTTGGCATAAGATACAGTGGCAAACATGCAGGTTCTGTTGCATGTTTGATCTTTTTCTCTTTTTTAAATAACAGGCTGTTGCATACATGAAATACAAAGGGCAAAGAATGAGGTTTGGGAGGATTGGGTGCATTCTAGAATGATTGGGTGTTGTCTGCATATTCCTTTCTGAAATACCAAGTCTTGATCTGTTTTTATTTTAGAGATATTGAAATGAATCTTATTATGTTTTGTTTAGTGATGCTGAATATCTCAGGGGATTAGCAAAGCTTTAACCTATAAAGCTGACAAAGCATTTTTCTTAGCATTGAAATCTATATAAAAAGTGTTATCAAAAATTGCAATGCCATTGTCAGTTTATTTCACTGCTCTTCAGTGAGAGTGTTTTTCCTGCTTGACTGGGAGTAAGGTTACACATCCACCAGAGCTGTTTAAATTCCTTTCTTGGCTTGTGTCTTACAAGGTTCACAGTTAACAGAAGAATTTCCATAGTGGGATTTGGATTATATGGATCTATTCATGGACCCACAGACTATCAAGTTAATATACAGGTACAGTATATAATGTTCAAATAGGCTTGTGCAGGAACTACACTTCCTAAAGGTTTGGTCTGTATTTGGATGGGAGCAATTGATAGGCCAGGAATCTAAGCTGTGTTTTGTCCTCAACAGTGGGCATAAGTGGATGATTAGGCAACAATAAGAACAGTAGGAAACTCTTCTTCCCTTTCTGCTGTATTCTCCTGTCCTTTAATCATTTTCAGTACAGGTGTTTTCCAACACCCAGCTTTTTCCCCATTTTCTCAAGCCTTTCCTAATAGGAGATGTATGTACTGATACTGTATTTGGGCATGTGATGTCCTTCAGTAGTCTGCATGCTTCTTATAATGATTTGATTTTCCTAATTGCTACTTTTTAGTTTCTTTTGAACAGGCTTCCTCATTTTTGTCTTTTTGAAATTTAGCACAGCTGTGGAGGATTTGCTTTTGTTGTTCACATGGGAGTGTTGACTAAGAATATTATGGACACTGTTACATAGTGTTTCCATTATGAAATTTTGAATCTGATCCTGCTCATCGCTCAGTACCAAATCAAGGGTTGTGTTTCTTCCTACTGAGCAATTGGTTAGCAAGCTCAGGGAAAGGCCAGTGATAGCATCTAAAAATGTCACCCCTGCTTTGTCCTGGGGTGAACCTTGCCTGCTCTGAGTGGGTAATTGAAGGCACCACTAAAATCATATTTCCTTCTCTTGTAGCCTGTTTGACCTCTTTTAGCACATCGTGGTCAGGATTGTCTTCTGGTAGTATTGATACAGCACTGTATTTTCCTTTTTAAATGTGGAATTTCAGTCCTTTTGAATTCTTTTTCTTGGTTTTCTTTTTAGTTTTGGTTCTAAGCTTTCTAACGAGGTATTAACATTCCATGACTGGCACCATTTTACCCTGTGGTGTATATTTCATAAGCTGGTACTGTCACATCACATTGATTTATTCGGTGCATGGGAAATTAGGTACATGAAAGAAATAGTCTGTGACTTCATTTAGAGGCAGAAATTCTGTTGTCCCTACCTGATTTTGTAGATTTCTAGCATGTTCTGGAACTGCTGTTTCAGGTAATTTCTGAGCATTCTTTTTAAATGACAGTTTATCTTCTGTTTCCTATTTGATGATTATTATTATCTGACTATTTTGTACTTAAGGATATGGATTTTGTGTCTGTCTCTTAAGAAAAAAAAAGTGTTGTGCCTTTCCTGTTATGATGTTTCAAACAGAGTGTTTCTGGAATGAGGTTTTGAAGGAATTTGGCTTTTCCACATTCCTAAATTTAAAAGCTCACTTGCAAATTTCTTGAAGTACCATCAGTTTGGTTTTCTTAAACTCTACATCCATGTAAATGAGTAGTACAGTGCCACTGGGTTGGATCTTTAGAACAAAAGAGTTGGTCCTGAGAATCTATCAGCTATACTGTGTATATTTGGGGATTTTTACTTCATGTTATCTCTTCATTTTTAGTCTCTCTGCTGAATTCCTGTTAGCAGATACAAGCATTTAGTGTGTTCCCTCAGGGTGTTTGCTGGATTTATTTAATCTGAAAAGAATTTAGGTTTTTTTCAAGGCAAACCAATGTATATTTAGTGGGAATGATCAGAAGATTCACTTGAAAAAGATCCTCTGATCCAAACTGAAAGGCTAGATATACCCTTATGGTTCAGATTAAGACCATCCACCTTATATGGGTTCTCTTTATCCTGCAATTAACTTCCTTGTCCCAATCTTTTCAGACATGTATTTAAGTTCTGTACCTCTACCTTTCTTCTTGAAGCTGCATCAGTACTAGCAAAGCTTTAGAGAGTTAAACGTTTAAAACTTGTCTTAAATGAGTGATAATGTATATTGCAAATAAATCTTTTATATGAAAAGGGCTTAGGACTTCAGCATTATAATTGTTAATATTTCTATTGATTGTGACTGGGAAAAAAAATAGAGCATATTTTGCCTAGAATAAAGCTTCATCTCAAGTAATACTAAAAATTATATGGCAATTTAAAAATAAAATACTAAGACTGATAGTATTCATCTTAGTGCAGTAATCATGAGAAGTGTTCTACTCTGAAGCTCTGATATCCAACTCCTGCAAGAGGTGTTGGGCAGCATGGATCAGTCTGGCAATCCAAAATAAGAAGTGAAGTATCTGTGATTACTACATCGTAGCTGGTCATTCCTATTCGCCACTAAACTCGAAGGCACAATAAATATTGTGTAGTCTGAGTGTAGTTTTTATTCTGAACCTAGATTAGAAATAAATTGTATAAAGCATAGCAGGACAAGTTCTTTTTTTCTTTTATGAATGTATCATTGACTGCTTACATTATCTGTAAAAACTTTTCTATATCAGCCACAGCCAGAGAATGTGCTTCCCTCACGGGCTGTGTAGGTGTGTAAAGATCAGCAATTACACTGGGTGGAGTAGGCAAGTGTTTGCTTGTCATCTTCTCATATGCATACAATGAGAATCTTTCTCATGCTTGTAACCCCAAGAATACTGTTTTCATGTTTTTGCACAGATAATTGATTATGAGAAGAATCAGACACTAGGACAGAATGATACTGGGTTTAGCTGTGATGGAACAGCCAGTACCTTCAGAGTTATGTTCAAAGAGCCCATCGAGATTCTGCCCACGGTTTGCTACACAGCTTGTGCAACGTTAAAAGTAAGAATGTCTAACAGTAGAGAAGACAGTGTTACTTCAATGCAAGAGTTGTTCTTTTATCAGTCTTCTGATGGGAAAGTGTCTTCTAGATCTTGATTTTTGGTTTAGGGCTAAAGAAGGACGTAGTTAAACTCCACAGTAACTTGTAAGACTGCTATATCTCTTCTGTGCCACAGCATGGACTTAGTAAGTGGATCCTTTGTGCCTTCTCACTTTGTGGTGTGATGTAGGTGTTAGGATGAGTCCTAATGCAAGTTACTGGTTCTGTGTGGGGAAAAAGCACTATCTAAAATATTTAATCTGGCAGCTGTCTATCAAAATTGAAGTTTGATTCACTGATTGAAGTTTGATTCTTGACTGCTCTAGCTGGAGTCAAGGAAACAGAAAGATTTTTTTTCAGCACTTTTTAGATATTAGTGCTGAAACAATAGACAAGAATTACTTGTTCTGGGAAAGTCTCTCCTTGATATTGTGGACAAATGTATTTCTCAAGATTTTTTTAATATTCTTCTAAATATAATTCTCTGTTATAGAAATCAAAATTGAATGGGTTGGGAAAAATACTGCACATTAAAAGAAGCTGAGGCAGGGAACTAAGTGAGAATATAGACAACCTGTGTGATAAGGAGAAATACTAGAAAGTATTCATTGCTAGTTGGATAAAATCAACTAGTTTAAGTCTGCTATCAGAGAAATGTTTTTTTGCTAGTTAGACATACAAGCACTTGCTTCTGTTGTCTGTGATTTTGTATATAATTTATATGATGTGGGTACAGAAATTTTATACTACTAAAATAACCTAACTCAGCAGTGTTTGAATCTTAGCAATTTATGGGTCTTGCCTACTTCCACTCAGTTGCTAATCTCCTGTGATATTTTTCAGGGTCCTGATTCCCACTATGGAACAAAAGGTTTGAAGAAAGTGATCCATGAATCTCCTACTGCTAGCAAAACATGCTTTGTCTTTTATAGTTCACCAGGTAACAACAACGGTACATCAATAGAAGATGGACAGATACCAGAAATAATATTTTATACTTAGTTTCACATGATGATCTGGAATGTGTCAGTGTCTCAGTGGACTTCAGCTCACTACTGGCAGTTAAAAAATTCTCTGAAATTACATCACTGTGTGAAAACAAATCTATCTTGTTTGAGGGGTACCAGAAAAACTATTTTTTTTTCTGCATCATTATTGGCAGAACATAATTTAGCTTTTCCTCTTAACAAAATGTCAAGTGGAGAAAGTACTCTGTATATTGAAAAGTTTGTTTTATTTGTTTTAAACAGTATCATGTGATTAATTGCTTTGTCTTTTCACCCCTTCGTTTCTCTTGTAGTAAAATTCATTTTTTGAACTGGAAAATCCTTACTTGTTATGAACAACTTGCGTACGTTTTCCCCAGTCTGTCCTAAAAAGACCATAAAGCTGCTGTTGTAGTCCCATCTTGCACTTCTTTCCAAAATGACCTTGGAATGACCCTATGGACATGGATTGCTACTATATTTTTTTGAAGTACATCAGCAAAGCTGGATTTATATTGCCATCACCTTGACTTTTTTGGATGAGCCATTGAGAATTAATGGACATTAGCACTGCAGAGAGCATCTGCAGCTGCACTGAAGAAACACTAAGTCAACTTCAGCAACAAACAGATCTTTCCAGAATCTCTCTTAATTCAGAAGGGCTGTTTTGGAATATAGAACTGGTTATGGAAATAGCCACTGCATATACATATGTGCCTATAAAAAATGTATAATGTGAAAATGAGAATACAAGACTTGTAATGATGTTATTTTATCATCGGATATTCTAGCACTAAAAAAAATTAGTATAAACCTAAGGATTACTTGTGTGCAACTAGTTTTACAGATTGCACACAATACTTTGCTGCCATTGCTGTATGTATATAGTACTCAGTGTCTTGCAGTATGTACTGTGTAGTAATAGAATGTCTTCGTGTACCCTTCCCCAGATTATACTAAAGTAGTAATTTGAGAATGCAGGAGAATAATAAGAAAA